CAATATCATATAAATCATGGCAGTCATCCGGGGAAGATCGTTTCGTCACAGTGACGTCCGCTTGATTGAAAGTTGCTTTTTTGGCTCACAAAAAGTCAATTTTTGAGAGAAGCCTTGGCCAGGAGCTATTGTTAAAAGCTTGAGTGCTCTAATGTTCCCTGATGCTTGCTACTGTTTAGTGGTGTAGAGATTGCTCGCAAGCCTTAAGTTCATGCACTAAATAGCTCAAAATGCGAAAAGACTGCTTCCAGAGACATAGGTGATCCTTCATTACCTTCACAAAGTTTTTGAGTATTGCATGTGTTAATTACCACCGAGAGAAAGCAAGTGCCAAAAAATTAAGAACTGTGACAGGTGATTTCGCCATTTGAGAGCATAAACAATGAAATCGTTTTGAAGCAAAGAAAACAGTTCCATATTCGCCGTGATTCTGGCACTAATGGCCTATGTTTTGAACAGGTGCTGTTAAAGTCTGAAATCTAATGCCGACTCTCAACGTTAGCCAATGTGGCAATCAAGTAAAATTCTGTCTGTTGCCAGTTGCTTGAGCTGATCTGTATATTTGTTGATGAATTATTTTATCCGACTACTCAGCTCTTTTTCATATACACACATCATGCCCTCATTCCTTGGGCGCGTGCCTGCAAAGGAAGAGGTAGCAACATCTTGAAATTTGAGCCATTTCCGCGGTGCGTAGCATTGCAAATTTTGGCATACGTAATTATGAATGCCTCGTCTACGCATTGCGCTTGTCAGCTGAAAATAGTCAAACCTGGTGAGTGGCCCTTTAAAAGCATGCACTTCTTACTACACAGTATTTGAAAATTGTCGCTCGTTTCGTCAATAACTCATGTTGTGCCCGTGGGCTCCTATAGAGCTTCGGGGCGTAATGTCAGCTTTGCACACGGCAGTGATCGCGAGGCAGCATTGCTACTGATAGACTCATTTGTTGACTGTTCGGGTGTAGCGCAGTCCCATTTAGTCGTACCGATTGCCATGGTTCAAAACGTGAAGGGTAGTCTTGAGCCACCACTTCTTATAATCTATAAAATGTTCGGGTTGTAAATACGGCTAGATATATTAGGAAACCAATTATCTTGCCTGATACTGCAATGCACCCCCCCCCTCCCCGAACACCAGCAGCAGATGCAATTTCATAGAATTACAACCATGCAGTGTATTAGGGCGAAAGCCTTAAATGCCTCATCAAAAGCGAAAATTGATTGCCGGTTGCGTCCGGCATGTTATCGCGTCGGCAGCGTCAACGTGAAGACGTCATCATATGACTTCACAGATAATAAAATTTTGTGACGTATTAGAAGGTCGCATAACTTGATGGCATCATACTCTTTGCATGGTTTAAATGAGCCGATCACGAGGGTAGTGCAGCTGAGGGGCAGAAAGCTAGCTTTGTCTACCATCCTTGAGGCAGTAAGAGAACCACGTTGGGGGAAGTAGGAAACACTGAATGCATTGAATAGAAAGAAAAGAAAGATGGTTCTTGCCTTTCAGTCATCTCAGGTGAATCCCTGCGAGTTCTTTTTTTTTTGGTTTTATGAGAAAAAAAGCAATTGGATTTTTCTCCGTCAGATATGCAGAGTGGTATACAGAAGAATTATATACTGAGGCATGCGAATGATAAAGTCGCAATAGCTTGAAAGAGAAACTGAAATGCGAATGCAGTATAACTCGAATGTAAAATTCTAATGCAAATATCGAACCGGTAGCACAACCTCACAGACTATTTGCGGAATATGCACAGTGGAAAGAAACGTGGACCTGCTGTATCTACTTCGTTTTCTGTTTTTTAAATATTTATAACCGGTTGTAGCCTGGGTGATTGATGAAAAGACAGAGTTATACATGTGACAAAGACCATATAGTATCTTATTGTTGCCACCACGGTCAGAGCCCAGTGAAAACAGGGCACCGCTATGTTCGTGGTGCTTTTCAACTCCCCTGCACCCGTTATAGCCGGCGAGAAGCACGAATGCAAATTAACTTGCATGAAGACACGAATTTGCGAGTTGCCTAATACGAGCGGCTGTTCAGCGCCAGATTCCTATTGTCTACTCGCGCAGCGCCGTCATGCAGAAGCGGAGGTGGAGCGCAGGCTCCACAACCTAAAGAGAGCGTTCACCTAGGCACTGAAAAATATGAAGGAGGCGCTGGTTCAGTTTAAATTAAGAATGACACAGCAAGCGATGGAAAAAAAAATGATAGGTGTAACCTTAAAAGACAAGAAGAGAGCAGAGTGGGTCAGAGAACAAACCGTGATTCAGGATATCGTAGTTGAAATTGAGAAGAAATGGACATGTGACAGGAACGTTGCACATAGACAGGATAAGCGCTGGTCATTAAGGGTAAGTGACCGGATTCCCAGAGAAGGCAAATGCAGGAAGTCGAGAGAGAAAGTTAGCTGGGCAGATGAGATTTAAAAGTTCGCAGGTATAATGTGGCAGCAGAAAGCACTAGACCGGGTCGATTGGCAGATCATGCGAAAGGCCGTTGTTCTGCAGGAGGCGTAGTCAGGCTAATAATGATGATGATGATGAGCAAAGCTTGAAAAGCAGCTTTGCCGCAAAACAAGAATGCAATGAAGTGAAGCACAATAAACTTATGAAGTCATTTTCTATCGGAATGAAAAATTGACTGCATTTGTCTTTGGAAAGTTTGAATAGTTTGAATACAAAGAATTCCTCTGCGAATTGAATCAAATCAACTAACGTAAAACTTTTGACTTGTACAACCTTTATTAGATCTGTTCTTGAAAACGCTAGTGTTGTATGGTTTACGCTCAATAAAATTCATACATGTAAATTGGAAGGCATTCAGAAAAAGGCAATTAGATTTATTCATAAGAAATATAGGAGCAGTGACTCGCCTACTTATCTACTGACATAGTCAGAGATTTCAACCTTAGCTGTTACCTTTCATCAATCACGCATTGCCCGCCATAACCAATTATACAAAATAAAGAGGTTTCTTGCAATAATGATATCTTTTGGTTTTCTTTTTTTTTCTGCGTGTTATCTGTGATTAAATATTCCTAGATTCATCCATAACTAACACCGTATCACAGTCAAACAGTCTTTGTGTATCGATGTTTTTTCAACTTCCATTATCTGAGGCAACTTCTTTGTGCTGATGTTTGTTCAACTTCGACTTTCTTGCACCAAACCTAATTCCTAGTTTCTATGTGTTTTTGAGTTGCATACTTCTGTTCGTTGCACAATAGTGTTGCATTTTTATTGATATATTAGTGTTCTAGACTTTATTTCCAGTGCATTTCAGTTTGTTGCGTTTGTTTGTTGTATCTTTATGAAGAAAAAGTGCTGTATTTGTTTTATGCCCTTTGTAATGAAGCTTAGATTTCTGTAAATGATACGTCCATCTGCAGTGGTCTCGATATGAAACTGGCAGTATTGTAAATAATTAAAAGATAAAATAGCAAACCGTACTGAAAAATATTCAAAATTTCAAATATTTGCACACTCCTAGTTCTGTGCACTGACAGAGGGCTACTTAGTTGGGTGGCTGCGTGGTGTGGTCGGTATGGTTGCATACCTAATGAACAGCATGATAAAGAACAAAAGACAAAGGGTAGAAAACAAAACTTTAGCACTTGTCTCATGTGCTTGCTTTCGTCTCTTGTTTCTTTCATGCTGCTCACTAAGTATATGGTACTGTTGATGACATAGTAGCTGTTTTCGAAAATTGAAAGTTACAAAGTAGTAGTAATGACGTTAAAAATTTGGGAATTCCATTGGTACCACCGGCACTGTAAATGAGCACACTTTCATCAGAGGTCATCTGTTATGCCCACAATAACAGGACATTTAATGTGCTCCCTGGATTTTTTATTTGGCCAGCAAAATGAAGCTGCTGCTGTTTGATGCTAGTATGAGTTTTTTTAGATGCGAAGCAGCTCTTTGACTAGCGTGTGTAACGCTGTCCCTCTGTCCAAACCACTCCCCCTCCCACGCGCTCGCCGTGTGTCAGCTTTCTCTCGCTTCACTTTCTCAACAGCTCCCAACGCTCGAGCCCACTCCTCATGTGGGCATCATCTCACCCACGCCACCTCTCTCTATCTGTCGGCAAGCAGAAATCGCAAGCCGGGGAGCGCACACACTGCGTGCGCCTCGAGAATCTCCCGGCGCTGACAATGTGAACTGCGTGTCGCTGCTTCCCGCGCGATCGCGCTGATGAATGGGACGCGGGCGCGGCATGCTTTCTGCAAGTGTAAGGGTACCTTTCCCGGCTGTCGCTGGCATTGCGAAGGTTGGTGATGCTGATCACGTTTGTGAATGGCAACCTGAACACTGTGTAGCAAGCCAGGGAAGCCTAATGCAAGCTTCGACAGTGGAAGACTAGCAACACCGACAAGGTGCGAGTAGAGAACACCGATCGCGTTCGAAAATACAGATGGCGCACGGGTAACACCGACGAGACGTGAGCCAAAGAAGCTGAGGTAAGCGTCTTCAATGCGTCCCACCTCCCGTATATTTGCGTTGCAAACATACGTTTCCCTGAGTAAGCGCCACACCAAGTTTCACTTCAAACCAGTCTTCTAGCACCCGCGTTGATGCGCGTTTCAACTGAGTCGGTGCCGTGCGCACCTGCTGCTGCTTTGCATCCCATCAGTGTTCCTTTTGGGGAGATGGCCCATAGTATTTTTCTACTAGTAAAAGCTCACTCAGTCGACACTTATATGGGAGGATACATATTGCAAGACTAGATTACTTTTCAAATTTGATAACAACTAGCGGAAAACACGAAATGCAAAGGAAGCCTGTTGTTTCTCTGTACTTTGTGTTTTCGGCTGTACCAAGAGGCCTAGTCGGAACCTTGATAGGTTACTTTTATGTGTAAGCGAGATTTCAGTGTCGTGAGCTATTTATTATAATCATGAGCGAGCAAATTGTGTAGCCATAAAAATTTTCAGTGCACTGCATGTAGGTATTGAGTTTATTGCTGAAGCTGTTTTTATGGTGTTCTAGACCTGATGGACGCTCTGTCCGATCCTCGAGCTTTTCTGTCGGCTCAGGAGAAGCGGCTGGTGCAGATGCGAGCCATGGGCATCGAGGAGGCCGACATCCTTGTCAACCGACCTGAGCTGGGCTCTCAGCAAAAGAAAGATGACGAGAAGAGGGGTAAGTCTCACCTGGTGGTATTAGTGTCATTCAAACACCACAGTCAAGGTCTGCTACAACAAAATTCAGGGTATCGTGAAAAATTTTTTTTGTAGGAGAAATTTCGTTATTGCGGAAAAGGTGGTAAATAAAAAGAAAAAAGATATGCACGACACTTAAGTTTATTAAGTTTATTTGTGATAGTTGTGAAACTTAAGAAAATCACACATTTTCAACTGCTTGCGCTTTTGCATGAGCAATGGCAAGATGCGCTACTGCCATTCTGTGAAGAGCTGCATGACGACATCGTTTTTATGGGTGCCAAGGAAACGATGTAGGATGTCCAAGGAGTCCATGACCTGCAACGCAGTCACTGGTGTCGGGTGCGCCGGCACATCATGAGCGGCTTCATTGTCATCTGATGAATCGACGATGGCAGTAGCCACGTGAGCACTCCTGAAAATCTCAGCATCACTTGGCTCCTCCTATACGATCACATCTGCATTGGCATTAACGTAATTGCTTAGGGCAACACTTTCGAGTACAATGCCGGCATCCTTGAGAGCTGCTCATGCTGCGGCAGTTTCAGCATCTTGCCCTGTTTCAACGTTGTCGGCAGCTTGTACGTGGTCGCTTGTGCTGGCCAAGTTCATCTCTTCGGGCCGGAACCCTGCATGCACAAAACAGTTCTTGACAATGTCACGTCGTGTTGACATCCATGCTGCTGCCAACATTTGCGCAGTCATAAACAAGTTCACTTTGGTGTCGTGGCCATGCTTTGTTTTCAACAGAATTCGCTGAAAAAGCCTTGATTAGTATCGTGCTTTAAGCTGTTGATGTCACTTCGGTCTAAAGGCTAAATTAGCGACATATAGTTTGGAAGAAAAAAACTTCACCCCAACGTTCGTCAGCTTGACATTGCTGTCCAGGCGATGTGCTGAGCTATTATCCAGCAGGAAGCAAACATTGGGGTCTTGCTTTTTTATGTTGTTGTCGAACGCAACGTTCCAGTCGGTGAAAATGGCCCTCATCATCCATGAATGGATGTTGGCAACGTACTTACTTCACTGGCAGGCTTTTTGTGCCCTTGAAGCACCGTAGTTTGGCGCTCTTGCCAATAACGAGAAGGGGCATTTTGTCGGACACGTCCATATGTACACAGAGCAATTCGGTGACTCGCTTTTTGCTCTGCTTCGCTTTTTCTTCTTGCTCTGCTTGCTTCCGTGGCACTGTTTGCCTTTGAAGTAATGCGTCTTTGCTGGTAGAATTTCATAGAACAACCCGGTCTCATGCGCATTGTACATGTCGGACGCAGCATACTTTTCGACAATGTCAGCAGCGTTCAAAGCGATCCACGATGACGCAACCGTCGCAGTCTGCAAAAGCGAACTCTCCACACAGCACCTTCGCAACGATCCTACGGCGCTTCTTCAATCGGTTAAGCCTCCTGGCACTCGCCTTGAAGTTTTCGTTGATGCCCAAAATTCAGGCGTAGTTTAGTGATTTCAGCTGAGTTAGGCTACCGCTGATTGGTACCTTCTTAGTCCTAGTTTTGCGTCGAGTTCTTCATGGGCTGGCATGGTCATTTTTCGTTAGCAGATGTGCCCAACACGAGTGCATTTAAGATGCCCACTTTGGACTTCAGTATCGTCAGTGAGCTCCGCAAGATACCGTATTCCTCAGTGATACATCCCTTTTTTCGTCCTGCTGCTGCCGCAGCAATTATTTCCGCCTCCTACTCTAGCGAAAGAGACTTCTGTTTTTTACTTTGTGGCGCCGTCATAAGCCCTCACTGTCGTAGGCTGAGGGAAGGAAAAAATATGCAGGTCGGAGCTATCAGGGGGCTGGGCTACTGATCTACTGAGCTAACGAGATGAGGCAGGGACTAAATAGGACTAACACTGCTAACGCCACAGACCACGTGAAGAAACAAAAGATGAGCTTGCAGCCAATGTCCAATGCGTGAATTCAGCTCGGCGTCGGCTGGACCAAGGAGGCAGGCTTTCACGGCATAACTTTATGCTTCACAGAATGCTGTGTAGCATCGTCATCAACCACAAACGGTGGCGTCCCCCTATGGTGTCGTGGTTTTGCAGCATTCAGCGGGTTATGTGGAATTAAGTCAACCTTTGTGCGTTTACGACTGTTTTAGCTGTTAAATAACCAAGAAAATGTTTAATGTAGACTCTGAATGTGGACCTGCTAATAGGAATTTAATGTTAAAGACAGCACGAGAAAAAAAATAAATGCCACGATAGCCGCTGTTGTGTGTACTTTTTTTTCGTGCCGTTTTTAAGGATAAAAAGTGTTGAGTCTTTAATTTATTAGTTAGCATGGTTGGATTTGTGGCTGGTAAAGTAACTCATGTCCCGGGAAAGTTTTGTTGAACCAGTCGAACAAAAATAAAGGAAGTGGTTCATTGTGGATGAAGCTTCAATACATTAGAGCTTATGGGATGCAAGCGGGTAATTGAAAAACTTTTGTAAAAGCAGAAATTTCATTTTAGAGGAGTTTGACTGTATTTACGAATGTGCTTCTGTACTTGGTTTTGCATTCAGCACATTTACTGAGCAGGAGGATGAGAGCTCTACCCTGAATAACTTGTGGATAAAATCAGGGGCAGATCTAGGCACTAATGTAAGGGGGGGGGTGTCAGGGGGGTGGTGTCACTTTAAATACCACCGGTTAGGAAGGGGAAAGTTTCCCGATCACAAGTACCCCATCCCATATACTGCTAATTTATTTGCGTGTACAATGTTCCCACTCATTGGAACAAGAAATCTTGTCGTGCTGAGGCGTTCATAAGGGCAAGTTGATGTAAGAAAAAAAACTTTACGCAAGTGTTCACATTGTTCAGATTTCAGTTAAGAGGCATGGTGCTTTCGGTTGCCCGAGAATTTTATAAGCAGGTTGTGGTCCACCCTCTTTTCTTTCTCACCACGCAGTCACCAAAATTACTCCAATCCTAGGAGATTGACATGGTTGTAATGATTAGAAAACTCCTGTACTTCAAAAGGTAATGTCCTGTCTGCCATGCAGGATTATAAAGTCTGAATACCGACAACGTTTCTTACTATCTATTAGGGATTAGTAGATTTACTGGAAAAATTTCATAGTATCGCATCTGTTTTCTGCACTCCGTCGCCGCCAATGCGATTGGCTTGCTCATATCACGTGACCTCGTGCCGCCATTGCCTCTCCCAGCGCTTTCAGTGAGCGTGCGTTGAACGCGCAGCGTGGTCGTGCTTTTAGCCTTAGCGCACTACTTAAGGGTATTTCATCGCTTTTCTAACGCACCATGCAGATGCTATGCAGTATACCTTAGCAGCAACTGAATGTGACCTGGGAATTTAGTCTATTTTCGCATCCTGAGCGGCAAAACGCTGAAAAAAGAGGTTCTATGTGACTGCACAGAGTTGATCACATAGAATTCACCCCCTCCAATAACACCCGTTTCCACAGTAATCAACGAGAAGTTTCCTGTAAATACTCTCATATGACAACATATTTCTTTTTATCCGATCTCTCTACTCGGCAATTACAAACGATTCACTGCATAGTCTTCAATTTGCAGTGCTCTTTATATCTGTATCTTTTGAACAGACTACCGTATTTACTCGATTATACCGCGCCCTCGATTGTAACGCGCACCTGGTTTCCACGACGAAAAAAAAGTACGAAGCCAATTGTAACGTGCACTCATTTTCTGCGACGAAAGGGGAAAAAAAAGTCCGTAGGAGTCAACCTTCGCACGTTGAGAATAAGTGTTTGGGTTATGATGCATTGAAGTTTCGAAAGATAAAACACAAAGTCAAACAGCCAGACATGCAGGTGAAACTGTGACCACTACGGCGGCGTTATGAGTTGCGTAATAGGTCATTCTTTGTCGCTGTCGAACAACTTCTTAAGGCTAAACCTCATAAACGCGAAAATGCACGCGACAGCGACGAGCAATGCTATGAGCGATGAAACAGGGCGTTCGCACGACGTGTCGCATGGTAGTTTTCGCGTGATCGCTCGGCTCTCCAGATTTGGAAGCCGTCGCCCATCGTCCGGAAGTGCTGTGCTCAAAGCACCGGACAGGACAGTCTGGGTAGCGATCACAAAAGTATCAAGCTAAGTTTTGGAAGAGCAGTGAAAGTGGGAAGGAGACAAGATGAGCAACTACAGGAAAATTTTTATCCGGAAAGGCAAATTGAAATAGCCACTAAACAAATTGAGAAAGTAATCACGGAGGATAATAAGACAGTATGGACATACACGAATCTAATTAGACTCTTTGAGCTAGAGCTTGCTAAGACGCGTGACAAGTCACCCCGGAAAAGAAGACACAAACCCAAAAGTTGGCGGGATGAGGAAGTTAAGAGAGCCATAGCAAAACGTCAGGAAGCCTCTAGGGAACACAGACATGCTAAGCAGCGGGGTGAACCGACAGATGATGTTGAAAGAAAATGGGCAACCTTTCTAAGCTGTAAAACAGATGCATCCCTTCTGATCAATGAAAATATTAGAAGGAAGGGAGCTCAGTGGCTGGCAGAAGTACATAAAAAAGATAGAAAGGGAGCTGCGAAATTTTGGAACCATCTAAACTCCCTAAGAAATGAGACGAGCCTAGAGCAGAGTTTTACAACTACAGCCCAAGGTGCTAGGCTAGAAGGGGACGAAGCTATTGAATATATAAGAACAAGGGTGACAGAAAAATTTCAACAAAGAAGTACTTTATGCACCACAATAGACAGGGATGGATCAAGTGGTACAATGGCTCCATTTTCACAATGAGCGTGGAAAGGGCTGAGAAGAGGGTTTCAAGTAGTACATCAACAGGCCCAGATGGCATTCCAATTAGGCTGATAAAGACATTGGGTCCGAAGTCGAAACAGACTTTGAGAGAGGCAGTGAGAAGAACAATAATCGATGGTGAAGTCCCTGATGAATGGAAACTTAGCAGGATGAGCATGATCTATAAAGGAAAGGGGGACAAAGATGACATAAACAAACACCGTCCTATAACAGTGACATCA